GCAGCTGATCGATGTTCTCTCTCATTGATGTTCCTAAGGCGAGGGCTAGCCCTCCATCTTGCCCAGGTAAGGCTAGGCCCTCCATCTTGCCCCAGGTTAAGGCTACGCCCTCCATCTTACCTTGCCATGTGCTTGGCAAGGAGCTTCTTCCCGGAAGTCTAAGCCTCTGCTAGCCACACCCAGGAACAAGACACCGACTTGGGCCTGGCCAATCGGCAAGGCCACAGCCCTTTCTCCTCCCCTTACTCCAACCCCCTATAAAACCCCTCTCCACACAGAGTTCTCTCTCTCTCTGCTTCCTGCTGCTGTGTCGGCAAGGTGGGGGAGCCGAGCTAGCTCGAATACAGACTCTTATGCTTTTGCATCGGACATGGCTGGCTCCCTGGTGTGGTTTCTTGGGGATCCTGAAATCTGGGCATAACAGTTTCTAACTCTCTATCCCTCTCCCTTCCTCTCTGTAAAAAATCAATAAAATATATTTAAAAAGAAAAAATGAGAAGTGGATCTGAATAAATATTTAAAAAAATAAAAGGAGGAAAAGCTTAAAGTTGTATAAGACATAACTACATGCATAACAGGGGATAAGTTTAGTTGCAGAAATTTAAGTCACCGATTTAAATATGTTAAATATTGCTAGTATATACTAAAAATGTCATCCAAAGGGTTAATAACCTAGGCTCAGGAAAAGATGAATGATTTGTCATGAAATAAAATAGAAGAAATTATTGGCATCAAATAAGATGAAATGAACTTTGTTGGGGGCCAACCCCAGCAGGTCCAGGGGTTCCCAAAGGTGTGGACAGAGTCGGCGAAGAAGGGAGGACATGGAGGCAGCGTTCAGTTGGTCATCATATCCAGGTTCTCTCTTTATTGTCCTGTTACATCTATATTTATACTACTTGATCCTATAAGCATGCCTCTATAATTACATCATGGTATGTTTTGGGTAACGTTCTACTGTTCCTTGTTTCTTATCTGACTTTTGCCAAAAATCCTGTCTCTATCTAGTTCTGTTGATTTTAATCTTGTCTAGGTTAATCTCTGTGTTCCATTATAAGGGCTATCCAAGGTCACTATTCTATTGCTCTACAGATAAGCTACAAGGAAGTGACTGAAGGAGTTTATCCTACCCAGTAAAGGTTATGTCCTCCCAGCCTCGCTGCTTGCCTTCCCTGGGACTGCCCTGTGTTAGTGGGTCTCCAGGGGTATAGGGTTTGGTGCTTTCCCTGGTGGGCAGACCCCTGGGGATGTGGGCCCAACAAGTCCCAAATTTATTGCCAACAGTCTTAGTCCAAGTTCCTCATAAGTAGTACATGGTATTTCTGTAACACTAGGGGGATTTACTGATTTATTCTCTTCCTTAGTCCTGTTAATCCCTAACCTGGGGAAACAACCTTTCTCGGGGAGGTGGTCCTGTTTAAAACACATAGCGCTAAGAGGGGGAGCAAACCATATTAAGAACAGTATGCCAGGTCCCTTGAAACATAAGCTGTGCAGATGTTTCTTCCCTGCAGCGACTGTGTCAAGCAGCAAGGGTGGACCGGCTTCCGGCATCTGGGCAGGGTCACGAGCGCATTCTCACTCTGTCTCTCCGGCCTCGTGCCCCTGCTCTCCTCAGCCACACCCACGAGGCAGCCAGGCCGAAGGCGGAAGGAGGCTGCCTGCAGGGCTGACCAGGTAGGACCCCAAAGCCAGGCCTGCATCAGGGCCCACTTGTGCCAAGTGGACGACAGAGTCAGAGCCAGGTCAAGGGTCCAGCCCTGCTGTCTGACCTTGCTCCGTCGCCTCTGGACCTGGGTGGGGTCGTACTCTGCAGGGCTGTTTGAGAAATGAGATGACAAGGGCAGAGCCGGGCCCCCGCGGGGATGGTGCAAGGAGCCGGCCCGGGGGGCCAGGCCAAGCAGCACCAGAGGCCGACCTCAAACGCAGACCTGCTTTGGGGTGGAGGACCTGCTGCTCTCGGATGCCAAGCTTGGTCCCTGGACCTCTTTTCCAGCCCTCCTTCCCTTCTGGAACCTTCTCTTGGTTCATGGCTCTAAAGCACCATGTGCTCTTGCCCTGGCTCTCCAGCCCAGCCTCGCCCAAGAACTCCACTCCTCCCATTAAAATGCAAATTCCGTGATGAAACATGGTTTTGTTGGCTTCCTCACCTTCAGCACCTAGAACAGCACCTGGCTCAGGTAGGGGCTCAGGAAATGCTGAGTAAACACAGGAAGGCCATCCGAGGCCTGAGAAACTCCTCAGAACCAGGAGTCAGAACAGTCAAACCACTGGCGGCACTGAACTGGCTGTCTCTGTTTTCATCCACTAGCGAATAGTGGGAGGTGTTTTTAAATCCTGACTCCAGGATATTTTTTCCATTGATTTTTTTAGAGAAAGTGGAAGGGAAAGAGGGAGGAGTAGACGGAGAGAAGAGAGAAGAGAGAGGAGAGAGGAGAGAGGAGAGAGAGAGAGAGAGAGAGAGAGAGAAGCATTGATATGAGAGAGACACATTGAGTAGTTGCCTCCCACATGTACCCCTGGGCCGGGATCGATCCTGCAACCCAGGTATGTGCCCTTGACCAGGAATTGAACCCGTGACCCTTTGGTTCCTGGGCCGACACTCTAATCACTGAGCAACACCGGCCAGAGCAGAATGGAAGATTTTATTGAGCATCGGTGACTTTTCTGGCTCCTTCACTGCGCCTCAGGCACTGAGTTCTGGGTGCCTTCTCTCTGTGAGGGTGGGGCTCAGAAGCAAGGGCTCCGAGCTGGAATCTTGCCTCTGGCACTTCCCAGCCCTGTGACCTTATCTGTGCCTCAGTTTCCTCCTCTGCAAAACCAGTGAAAGCTGTGCTGCTCACAGGTCCTTAAGCTGCGACTTGACATAGGCCAGGGGCTGAGAAACTGAATTCCGTGCCGTGTTAGTGGGACCCCCCCGGGCGTACCTGCACATTTTGGTGGTAGAATTGAAAAGTTTCACTTTGTAGCCGCTGTTGGAGATGAGCAGGAAGAGTTCCTTGGTGAGTGGTGGGTACCAGATCATACAGGTGGGGTAGTTGCCCTGGTCAGTTTGGTGAATGTCCAGTACTTCCAGGTGGTTTTTGTAGCTCCCGAGAAGATTATACTCGATCTGCAGAGGCGCCCAGACGGACAAACATGAAGACGGAGCTGGATGAAGTCAGCCCAGAGTCCTATTCTAAGAGAAGACTGGGCTAGACCCTTAACCTACTAAGCTACCAGGAGGGAGTATTCATTACGAGCAAAATGAGGAGTAAGCGCTCTGAAACATGATGCCATTTAATGCTCACCACTCCCGGCCAAGTAGTACTGCTGTGCCCATTTTACAGATGAGAAAACCGATGTTCAGAGAGGTTCAGGGGCTTGCCCAAGGTCATACAGTTAAGAAGTGGTAGGGTGAGGATTCAAATTTAGGTCCAGCTGACTCCAAAACCTGAACTCTTACAGTTATATTATAATGCTCCCTTTCCTATTATCTTGGGGGTAGGAATTCATTCATACCTAAGTCTCAGCACTTGATAGTCATAAATTAGCGGCCTGCTGAGTTTCACTGATGGGTAGGTTTTGGTGGCCAAACCAGGATGGAAGGATGGATGGATGGATGGATGGATGGATGGGTGGACGGATGGATGGGTGGGTGGATGGGTGGGAGGATGGGTGGATGGGTGAATGGATAGAATAAAGGAAGGAAGGGGAGGGAAATTAAGATGAGGGACAGATACACAGACTGACTGATTTCGAATGCTTTTGGCTTGATCATGTAACATTACATTTGACGCCGTCCCTACCTTTCCCTCTTATCTCACATTCTCCGTGAGGTGTCACATTTGGGGAGGAAGTGTCAGTGAGTGTCGGCTTTCCAAATTACACTGAGAGGCGAGGACGGCCAGGTTTCCCTGCTGTGGGAACACCACCTCCCTGCCGCCGCCGCACCTCTTCCCAGAAGCCTCCTCACTCAGGACACGAGTCGGAGCCGTGTTAAGACCAAGTACCAACTCGGAGGGGTTTGCACTACTTCTCGGTACATTCACTGTCTCCAACAAACACACACAGTGGGCCCGGGTCTGGGCCGGACACCAGGGATGGAACAAGGATGAGACGCGTGGGTGGCCCGGTGAACGAAAAGGACCCAGCTCACCAGGAGCCTGTCTCTCCCGAGGCTCAGCAGTCTGGGCTCATTGCTATCCAGATGAACCCCGAACAGGAGACTCCGGATGCTCTGGCGATGAGAACGCAGCCTTGCCAGGTATTCCCAGACCCTCTCACTATGCCTGACCTTGACCATGTAAACGGCCACAGTAAAATTTGCATCCTGCATATGAGCAAAAGAACAGAAGTTATTCCTTTTTACAGTTTTTAACTTAAAAAATAATCTTTATTGCCCTGGCCAGGTAGCTCAGTTGGTTAGAGCGTCGTCCCAGTGTGCCACGGTGATGGGTTCAATCTTGGTCAGGGCACATACTAGTACAAGAAGCAACCAATGAATGATAAACAAGTGGAACAACAATTCGATGTCTCTCTCTCCCTCCCTCTCTCTCTCTCTCTCTAAAAAGCAATTTTAAAAAATCATCATTATGTTTTTTGTACCAATTTTGCTGTTAGAATATTTTGTCTGAAAATAAATCTTTGTCTATCGGAGCAAGTGGTAAAATGATGCCCATTTTACAGATGAGAAAATTAAGGTTGAGAGTAGATAACTCACAAAGGTAGCAGTGCCTCTGACACCACCTCATCCCCACCTCATTCTCTGTGGAAGCCTTGACTCCTTTTGCCTTTGTCTCCCCATCTCTATATCCAGCTACAAATGAAAAGGTAGACTTTTTTTCTAAAAAGTATGATGATTGAGCCCTGGCCAGTGTTGCTCAGTGGGTAGAGTTTCGGCCCTTGAACCAAAGGTTGGTGGGTTCGATTCCTAGTCAAGGGCATGTACCTGGGTTGCAGTCTCAAATCCTAGCCCTGGTCAGGGGTGCATTTGGGAGGCAACCAATCAATGTGTCTCTTTCACATTGTTGTTTCTCTCTTTCTCTCCCTCTCCTTCCCTCCCTTCTACTCTCTCTAAAAAAATCAATGGAAAAAATATCCTTGGGTGAGGATTAACAAAACAAAGAAATGACTTTATTGTTCTCCTAAAAAATGACACATGCTCATTATAAATTTTTTTTTAAAAAGTATCATGGATGAGAGTGCCCCGGTCCAGCGTGCCGAGAGTGGCCTGAAGGGACCCTCAGGGGTGTGTGGCGGGAGGCGAGGGGGGTGCTTTCTGCCCTCTGGCAGTGCTTTGATTCTGACCGGAAGGCAGGTCAGGCCGAGGCCGGAGGCGATGGGGAAGCACCGGAAGGGGTGGACGGCGGTTTTGTCGAGTGAAGACGGTTGCTTTGTCTCTTCCCACAAACATCCAGGCAGGATGAGAACGGTGCGGACGAAGAGGACTGGCAGGAAGGCAGAGGGCGAGGGCGGAGGAAATCTTCACTGGGTTTAGGAACCCTATTCATAGAGGGGAGGACAGAATCCGAGGTACGGGTGGAAGACTTTGCTTTGAGATAAAGGAGAATGTCATCTCGTCACAAAAATGAAAGGGACAGATGAAAGAATGGATGCAGAGAAGGGGTCCCAAAAACTAACAAACCAAAGTAGTTGTCAGGGTCCAAGCTTAGAAGTTCTGAGGCCCTGGCCTTATTTTCAGGCAAAAGTCCCCTCACCCCACCCCTTTCCTCTTTTGATAACAGCTTTATCGAGCTATAATTCACATACAATGCAATTCATTTAAAGTGTACGGTTCAATGGGTTTTAGTATATTCCGAGCTGTACGTCCATCATCAAAAATTCTATATCCTTTAGCAGTTATTCTCTAACCCCCCAACCCCCCCTTTTTTTAATGTTTTTAAATTGATTTCAGAGAAGAAGGGAGAGAGAGAGAGAGAGAGAGAGAGAGAGAGAGAGAGAGAGACATCAATGATGAGAGAATTTTTGAATGGCTGCCTCCTGCATGCCCCCTACTGGGGATTGAGCCCGAAACCCAGGCATGTGCCCTGACTAGGAATTGAACCCTGACCTCATGGTTCATGGGTCAATGCTCAACCACTGAGCTACACTAGCCAGGCCCCCCTCTCTTTAAAAACAACAACAAAACAATAATTTTAGAGAGAGAAAAAGGGGGGAGGGAGGGAGGGAGAGAGAGAGAGAGAGAGAGAGAGAGAGAGAGAGAGAGAGAGAGAGAGACTGATTTGTTGTCTCACTTATTTATGCATTTATTGGTTGATTCTTGCATGTGCCCTGACCAGAGATCAAACCCACAATCGCTGTAAATCAGACTGAGCTACCTGGGGCCAGTGCCTCCTTGGTTTTAAATAAGGCTGCTGAGCCACACAGAACAGTCTCAGCGAAAACACTCACCGCGGTTGCCATGTACTGGGAGTTATGGGAGAAGCTGATGTGCGTCACGCTGGTCCTGGAATAGTTGAAAGGCTCTGGGATCCCATTTTCCAAGGACATTGCATCAAGAATGTAAACTGTCCCCTCGGTGAAGCCAGCTCCGAGAAGGTCTCCTGAAATCACAAGCCAGAGAACAGTGGTCGAAAGGGCTTCTTGCCTGGCTGGTGGGGCTCAATGGTTGAGTGTCGACCTATGAACCAGGAGGTCACAGTTCGATTCTAGGACAGGGCACATGCCCAGAGATGGTAGGCTTGATCCCCAGCGTGGGGCGTGCAGGAGGCAGCTGATAAATGATTCTCTCTCGTCATTGATGTTTCTATCTCTCTCTCCCTCTCCCTTCCTCTTTGAAATCAATAAAAATTTAAAAAAAATTTTTTTAAAAAAGGGCTTCTTTCATTTAAGAAACCAGACTCTGTGCCAGGCCTTGTCCTAGGTCGCCAGGAGACAGCGACGAGTGGCAGACTAGGTTCCTCGTCGGAGAAAACAACCCTGAAAAGCTGACAGCCTGGGAGGGATGCTCAGAGACCCTGAGCACCGAGGGCTGCAGGAGCCAGAGGGAGAAGGCATCTCGTCCGGCCAGGCCAGGCGGAGGGAGTCGGGTCAAGGCCAGCTCCCAGCAGCTGTGACAGCCACAGCCACGGCCATTGTGTCTGCTTCGCTCTGGAACCTGAGAGAGGCGGACACAACGAAAATACCTTCAGGGTTGTAGGTCAGACTCTGGATGCCAAGCCCCTTCTCGAAGACTCTGCTGAAAAGGTATTTTTTCTTTTTATAATCCCACACTTTGATCATGCCACAGGAACTCCCGATGGTGATGAGGGGCTGATACGGGTGGCAGGAGATGGCACAAATGGCTTCCTTGGGCTCTATGAGTAACTTCTCCAGCTTGGTCTCATCTGCCTTTAAGTGGTACACGATCGCATCAGATGTTCCGATGATAAAATTCCTGTTTGCCAAGGAGAGACCAAACAGCATCAGCGTTTGCAGGGAACGGGCGCGCCAGCCAGCCACGCTGCTTCTAATTGCCCATGAAACGCCTCTGTCGTCTGTAATTTAGTGACATTATTAACCCACCCGCCTCCAAAAATATACCACGCACCCCCAACAGCCTCCATTTGCAAGTGAAAAAGCCCACATTTCTCCATGGAAATTGAGTCATTAGGCATGCAGATGGACAGTCGGTTGTACAATTAGCTAATCTGCACATGCAAATATTCATTTGTGTATGCAAATATGGAGCTGGGCGCACACATACAGCCGCGCCTGCAGATACCGCCAGGGTAATTGAGCAGGCTCACAGATAATTCCGTCTTGAAATGTTATGGCTATTCATTATCAAAGGCCTTTAACTGCGCCGCGAGGACAAACTCGGCTTCCAGAAGAGACCGGCCTGCAAGCGAAGGGCTCCAGGCGGAGCAGAGCTCAGAGCTCTGGGAGAAGCCCTTGCAGCTTCCAGTCACGGAAGATTCTTCATATGAAATTCATGTTTCATTTTTAAAAAGGAGTCGGGATTATCATCAGCCAGAGAGACCCATCTACCAGCTGTGCTCAGGACTGACCCGGACGGCCGGTTCCCTCACTTCCCATCCCAGGAACGGGGTGGACACTCCCGGCCCGTCCTTTCTGACCATCCAGACGACGAGATTCAGGAACAACGTACCTTATGACAAAAATGTCACCTTTTAAAGTGCAGTCTGAAGGGTAGTTTGATTTCTCGGTAGGAGGCGTCGCCGGGGTCTTCGAGAAGGACAGCGTTCTTATGGAGCTCAGTTTGAAGTTGCTGAACCAGTTCATGATGGACAGGGTGCGATCGTAGAACTTAATGTTACCCTTCACGTCACCTGTGACAATATAGCTGCAATGGAGAATAACATCAGTTTGTTAAAGAATAGTAATAAGTGCCGTCTATATTTTTAAACATTTTTTTTCAAATAAAAAATTGTTGTTGGTTGGAGAGAGAGGAAGGGGCAGGAGGGAGAGAGAGAAATGCTGATTTGTTGTTTCACTTATTTATGCATTTATTGGTTGCTTCCTGCATGTCCCCTGACTGGGGATTGAACCTGCAACCTTGGCGTATCAGAATGATGCTCCAGCCAACTGAACTACCCAGCCAGGGCCTCAGTACCATGTACTGAGCACTTAATTGTATGTCAGGCTCTGGATTCCTTCTGGGCATTGTAAAAACTCCACTTAATGCTCTGCCCTGTGAGGCTGGTTTTGCTCTTATCCCCTTTACAGCTAGGGAACTAAGGCTCAGAGAAGTTCAGAAACCTGCTCAAGGCCTGGGGTTGCCAGATTTAGCAAATAAACATGCAGGAAGCCCAGTTAAATGTGAATTTCAGACAGACAATGAGTCATTTTTGAGTGTAAGTTCGTCCCCAATATTGTACGGGACATACTTATGCCTGGCAACCCTTTCAGGTCCACGTGGCGAGCGAGACCATGCAGGGGTCCAGGTGTGTCCCACACAGTCGCTGCTCTCGGCTCTGTGATCCCCTGCTCTCCGAGACCAGCTACAGTGACTTAACATTCTCCGCCTTGAGACTGCAGACGACCACAGAGGCTGTCTGCCGGCCTTCCAAGATCTCACAAGCTGCAAATGGGGTACCAGCCACTTTATAAGAAGGCACTGCTGCCCGGCCAGTATGGCTCCGTGGTGGAGCGTAGACCCAGGTACTAAGAGGTCACGGTTCGATTCCCGGCCAGGGCACATGGCTGGGTTTCGGGCTCCATTTCCCGTAGGGGGCGTGCAGGGGACAGCAGATCAATGATGTTTCTCTTGTTGATGTTTCTCTCTATCCCTCTCCCTTCCTCTCCCTAAAACACAATTAAAACATTTTTTTTTTAAAAAAAAGAAGGCATTGCTGTTAGAGCAACTGTAAAACCCTGTCCAATCACCACAGCCAAAGGCAAAGATGCTTTTATTTCCAGTCCTCAGATCCATCCCTAATGGGCTTGCTTTTTAAAAAAAAAAAAAAATTTTTTATTCATTTTAGAGGGGAAGGGAGAGGGGGAGAGAGAAATAGAAACATCAATGACGAGAGAGAATCGTTGATTGGCTGCCTCCTGCACACCCCCTACTGGGGATCAAGCCTGCAACCCAGGCATGTGCCCTTGACTGGAATCGAACCTGGGACCCTTCAGTCTGCAGGCCGACCCTCCATTCACTGAGCCAAACCAGCTAGGGCAGTGGTTCTCAACCTTGGCTGCCCATGAGAATCACCTGGGAATCTTTTTAAAATTCTGATTTCTGGGCCTCATCCTCCGGAAATTCTGTTTCTTTGTTAGTAGTAATGTTGTGGCCCCACCCCATAACAAAGAAACAGAATTTCCGGAGGATGAGGCCCAGAAATCAGGATTTTAAAAAGATTCCCGGTGATTCTCATGGGCAGCCAAGGTTGAGAACCACTGAGCTAGGGCAAGGACTTGCTTTTTTTAAGCCTCTGACAGAATTCTAATCACGGGGGAAGTTGAGGGGGAGGGGGAGTGAGTTTCCTCTTATATACCCAAAGTGATTAAATGAGGTTTCTGATTAATAAGCAAGGCAGGTGGGCTGTGTAATTGGCGAAAACGTCTTTCACTGCCCTCTGCTGGACAGAAACGGAAAGCAGGCCACGCGTTTTCAGAGAGCTTTCCTGGCTGGGTTTCATTTAACGTGGGGGGAACCGAGGCCTGGTCTTTCCTGGGCCCTAACCCCCGACTAATACAAGACTGATGGCATCGTGAACTGCAATTTTATTACTTACTGATCTCTTCGCACCGCCGAGTGAGGATGCTAATGGCGTTTCTCTGTAAACCTGCACCAGGGCCTCAGCGTCTGCTGTACAAAAGGAAGGAGAGGGGCCTGGCCCGTCTGGCTCGGTGAATCTCTGGTCCAGGCCACGTAACTGGGCTGCAGGATCGATCCCCAGCGCTGGCTGGGCCGTGTGCAGGAGGCAAACAATCAGTGTGTCTCTCTCACATCAATGTTTCTCTCTATGTGTGTGTGTCTTTCCCCCTCCCTTCCACTCTCTAAAAATCAATGAAAGAATATCCTCCGGTGAGGATTTAAAAAAAAAAAAAAAGGAAAGGAAAGGGAAGCAAAGCAGCTTTCAGAAAGCAGGTGGCCCGGGGGCTCCAACCATACAGGCAGGGTCCTGGTCTTTAGGGGATTTTCTCCATCCTTTTGGGAACTTCTCTCTCACACCAGTGAGGACTATTTGGCTCAGAGCTCCCCTGTGCCAGACAGTGAGCTAAGCGTTTTACATGCCTTGTCTCCCTAACTCCTCATGAAATCACTCGGAGACGGATGCTATTGTGCTCATCTTACAGATGGAAAAACGGAAGCTTGACGAAGTTCAGTTCTCTGCCCACTCAGCAAGATAGGGATGTATCTGGAATGGGAACACTCTCTCTTTCTCTGAGGCAAAGGCTTTTTATAAAAAAATATATTTTTTTTTTATTGATTTCAGAGAGGAAGGGAGAGGGAGAGAGAGATAGAAACATCAATGATAGAATCATTGATTGGCTGCCTCCTGCATGCCTCCTACTGGGGATCCAGCCTGCAACCCAGGCATGTGCCCTTGACCAGAATTGAACCTGGGACCCTTCAGTCCCCAGGTCAACACTCTATCCACTGAGCCCAACTAATGTCCCTGGAAATATTCTATGCATATACAAAATACAGGTATACATTTAAAGGGGTTTTTAATACCTTTATAGGCCCTGGACAGGTAGCTCTGTTGGTTAGAGCATCATCCCTATATGCCAAGATTGTGGGTTTGATCCCCGGTCAGGACACATACAAGAATCAACCAATGAATGCATGAATAAGTGGGATAACAAATCGATGTTTCTCTCCCTCCCTTCCTCTCTAAAAATCAATAAAATTTTATAAAAGACTTTGATGGTCTTTTTAAGAAATGAAATATCTACACTAATAAAAAACAAAGATGCTAATCGACCATACCTTTGCTACGCCCATCAGCCAATCAGAAGAGTATGTAAATTAACCCAACAAAGATGGCCGTTAAATTTGCATACTGCAGGCAGGCAGGGTGGGGCAGCGCTATCCGCTGCCCGCCCCAACCGCGGGATTGGGCCTGCCCTGTGCAACCCGGGGAGGCGGGGCAGGCACCGTGGGATTGGGCCTGCCATCTGCCCCCCAGGGAGCGGGCCTAAGCCAGGAGGTGGTTATCTCCCAAGGGGTTCCAGACTGTGAGAGGGCACAGGTTGGGCTGAGAGACACCCCTCTCTGCCAGTGCACAAATTTTTGTGCACCAGGCCTCTAATATATATATATATATAAATAAAGCTAAGCGACCGGCCAACCAGCCAACTGGCCAACTGGCCAGTAAGTATGACGCACACTGACCACCAAGGGGCAGATGCTCAATGTAGGAGCTGCCGAGCGATGGCAACTTTGCAGAGTGTCCTCTCACACTCCGGACCCCTCAGGGGATGTCAGAGAGCCGGTTTCAGCCCAATCCCTACAGGCCAGGTTGAGGGACCCCACCTGCCTGAGGGACCCCACTCATTCCGCAGACGCCCTTTGAGCCCCGGCGCCACCCCAGGTATGGCCAGTTGGGGAGGGACTTCAGGAGGTTGGCTCCAAGGTGTGTCCAGCCCATCTCGCCCAGTCTCACCCCGCCGGCCACCTTCTAATTAATTTCCTTTCAATGTGCACAAATCTGTGCACTGGGCCTCTAGTATTTTTATAATCATCTACGGCTACTTTTTAGTTCTGTTAATTACCTGTCAACTGTAGTAAGCACAGTGATACCCTCTTTCTGCAAGTGAACCAGTTTACAAGGCTTGATGTAGGGGAGGGTGGAGGTAGACAGCGGGGGGCGGTACACATCCCAGACCACCAGCTTCCCTTCCAGGGTGGCCGACAGGACTTGGGTTAAATTCAGGTGAAAGATGGACTGGCTGAACTTCCCCACGTGCTTGTTGAACGTCTGCATTTCAAAAGGCAGATCATGAGCTATCGTTGGTGAGACGCATAGAACAAACTGTTTACCCACACGTGGCGTTTTATAATACCGCCCTGAAATGCAGTAGAAAAAGATACAAAAGTTTAAAAAGCACACATCAATCCCTTAAAGAAACGCTCCCCTGTGGATTGCCCTGGCCCAGGCAGCTCTGAAGCTCACGTGCTAAGACTGAGTGACAGGTTGTGTATTCTGTCCGTTAAACTGTTTGCTGAAAGCAAATGCCAGAGTGGCCAACCTCTGCTCCTACCTGTTCCACTTTCCTCGCTGAGGTTTCAGAGACGGATAAAGAAACCAAGGTCTGCCGTGGGCAGCAGCACGCCCCCGCCGTAAGACACCGTAAAACAGTTCTCCCGGCCGCCCTGGGACCGTCCATTACTCTCATCGGTGGGAGTGAAGCACTGTACACGGAAGTGTCCCTCAGGCTCCCCGTGAGGCTTGTGCTGCGTAGAACAAGGCGAGCCAGGCCTTGGAGGCAGCGCTGTCCTTGCCGGGTCACACGGAGCGATCGCCTGTGTGGCGGAACTGTGTCACGTCGCCTGCGCATTTCCTGACCTGAGACTCGTGTGGTCTGTGCTCAGCGAGAACCACAGGCTAGTTTTTCTGCTTCCCGTCTGCACTCCTGGTGTGACTCCCAGAAACTCCATGTCTAAGCGGGGCATGCCAAGAGGAAAGACGACGACGAGACAGACGGACATGGGAGAGATGATTCTGTCTGCAAACTCTTGTTTTTCGTAGATCAAATTATCAGCAAATAAACGCAGGCAGTTCCAGTTATTCGTGGCCGTTATGCTCCATGGGAGTCTCTGCAGATTGAAATAATAAAAATGCTTCGTATTGAAACGGGGCTGCTCTTAGAAAAAGCCGGGTGCCCTTGCTTAACCAGTTGTTTTTTTGTTGTTGTTTTTACTGATCCTCTTGTGTTCAGGCCAGACGAGGTAAACCTTAGGATCTTAGACAATTGGGCGGCAGACGTACTGCGTCGTATGACAGACAGACTGCAAGTTCCTCTCCTTTGTTTCATTTGCTGATCCCTCACGGAGCGGCTTCACTCCCTGCTCTGGGTTCTCTCTATACCTCCCCTTTAAGACGTTGTCTAAGGCCACGAATAACTGGAACTGCCTGCATTTATTTGCTGATAATTTGATCTACGAAAAACAAGAGTTTGCAGACAGAATCATCTCTCCCGTGTCCGTCCGTCTCGTCGTCGTCTTTCCTCTTGGCATGCCCGCTTAGACATGGGGTTTCTGGGAGTACACCAGGAGTGCAGACGGGAAGCAGAAAAACTAGCCTGTGGTTCTCGCTGAGCGCAGACCACACGGGTCTCAGGTCAGGAAATGCGCAGGCGATGGGACCCAGTTCCGCCGCACAGGCGATCGCTCCGGGTGACCAGGCAAGGACAGCGCTGCCTCCAAGGCCTGGCTCGCCGCGCTTCTACTGGCTCTTAAAAATCTAAATGCCTGATATCTTTTCTTACAATATGCTTTTATAGATTTCAGAGAGAGGAAGGGAGAGGGAGAGAGAAAGAAACATCAGTGATGAGAGAGAATCATCGATTGGCTGCCTCCTGCACGCCCCATGCCGGGGATCAAGCCCACAACATGGGCATGTGCCCTAACCAGGAATAGAACTATGACCTCCTGGTTCATAGGTCGATGCTCGACCACTGAGCCACACTGGCTGGGCTCAATATCTTTATTACTCTGAACACTGAGCAGCCAGCTACTCTGTGTTCAACTACTCTACTTACGTGACTCCATACTAACTGCCCTTCTTTGTCATATGTGCACGCATAGCTTACTAAAGCCTTCACTTTCTGGGGGGATTATGTTCTCATGGGAGTAAACTTCCTTTTCTATAATATTTTATTTTTAACAGCACATCCGTTATTTTCAACTGACAAATTCAATATGGTAAAGGACCCAACGAAAGTATTTTTATATATTATTTCCCTATATTAAGACATGCAAAGAGCAGCCCAAAATGACTAAGCTCACACGTACATGTTTATTCTCCACAAAACCAGATGTATAAAAAAGCGACGGGGAAAAAATAAATATAACTAAATAAAAAAGCGATGGACATACTCACTTTTTCTGTTAAAAGTGGGGCACTGTGAATAAGTATCCCTCTCTCTTCATACTGGTAAGTACAGAAAAAAAAAAAACAAACATCACTACTAAAACAAAGACCTGGTTCCCCAAAGAACTAACCGCATAACAACAAAATCGGAACAAACGCGTCGAAACAGGCTCAGAGCTTCGCAGCTTCTACAGGTAAGAGGACTGCTGCCTCCAGGGACAGCCAGAAACATTCAGCCAGAAGAGCAAACACGTGAAGAATTGCCACAAATGATTGCGACCTGAAATGGTGGTCAGTGCGAGTGGATTCCACCTGTATAAGGCTTTCAAGCTATCACAAATACCTGAAGTAATGATCATCGCTGAAAATCAGCCACACAATGTGTTTTTTGTTATTTACTGGCATCTTTTATTGAGGTAAAGTGGACATCACATAAAATCAGCCACTGGCCCTTTTAAAGCGTACAATTCAGTGATACTTAGTCTGTGAACAATGCTGTGTAACCATCATTCCTCTCCCAGAGGGAAGCCCCTGCCCATTAAGTGGTCCTGCCCCAGCCCCTCCTCCAGCCCCGAGAACCACTATTCTGGGTCCTGTCTCGATGGGTTTACCTATTCTGGACATTTCACATAAGGGGAATATTCCATGTACACCACGTGACTTTTTGTGTCTGGCTTCTCTCTCACTCAGCGTCACGTTTTCAAGGTTCATCCATGGTGAAGGATGAAATCAGTTCTCCATTCCTTTTAATGGCTAAATACTATTCCATTGTATAGATGGACCACCTTTTGTTTATCCACTCATGTGTTAATAGACATTCGGTTTGGTTCAACTTTTTGGTTATTGCGAATGTCACTGCCGCTGTGAACACCTGTGTGTATTTTTTGTCTGTTTTCAATTCTTTTGAGGCTATACCTAGGAATTGCTGACTCGTATGGTAATTTTACGTTTAACTTCTTTTAAAAAATACGTTGTTATTGTTTTTTTGAGAGAGAGAGAGAGGGAGGGAGAGGAAGGGAGATAGAAACATCCATGATAGAGAAACACTGATGAGCTGCCTCCTGCACGCCCACTACTGGAGATCGAGCCTGAAACCCCAGCATATGCCCTGACCGGAAATCAAACCAGACACCTCTTGGTACATGGGACGACGCTCAATCCACTGAGCCACACTGGCTGGGCTATGTTTGACTTTTGATCTTGTTTTAATGTCATAATTTTGCCCTGTGTCAGTATAAATATTGCTGATCTGTTTTCTAATCCTTTCTAAAAGGCCCAAGATCTCAAAAAACAAAAACAAAACAAAAACACCACCCTATACTTTAGACGTGTTAAATATATTCATATAGATATTTGACTTTTTACTTAAAAATTAAATAAGAGTTAAATTATCTACTTCAGAATTAATATGCTAATTTCCAATGTGACTAAAATAAATACTGTCATTAAATCAAAACATTTCAATATATTTATTGCTTCCTAAGTACATACAATATTGTTACATTACCAAAACATCTGTCCTCAAAGGATGAACATGTGTTTGTTAGTAAATTTAAAACAAATCGAGATATTTGTACTTACCCACAAATAATATATTGCCCGTACTTTACTATTGCTCACCAATTCTTTATTATTTGTTGGATTAAAAATAAGGTAGTTCTGAAATATAAAGTATGGAGACATATTACAATAAACAATAAATTTCCTGTTTCTCTCTGGTTAAGCTAAATGTTCAAATTAAGTGAGATTTTTATTAAAATACATAACTGAATAGGAATCTAAGACAGAGCAGACATGGCATTGTATAAGCAGGAGGAATATAAATACCGATCATTAAAGTTAATGGTCTCAGTGCATTCCCTTTCTTAGTCTCATTTATTATAACTCATCATCTAGGAATTAGAACGAGCAAAAGTAAACCGGCATTCACCAACAACTTTTTTTCTGTGTTCTTTAGGAGAAAGGCCACTGCGTACACAGTTCTGAATCCGACAGGGCCACAGGCAGCTTGGAATGAATACAAAATATTGGAAGGAGATTCTGCTTCCTGCCAAGGTGCTGAACAGCAGGGGGACCTGGCTCCCTTCCTGAAAGCCAGCCCTGCAGATCCTCTAGAAGCGAGGGAAGCGTGCAACGCAGAGACTGAACAATCCCTCAACAGAAAGTGGGAAATCCCTGGGAGACTTTCCAGTACATCTTGAGATGGCACGGGTACAGCCCGAGATGCAGGGTTGCAGGCGTGGCATCAAGAAGCAAGTTGGATGCCGAACCGGTTTGGCTCAGTGGATAGAGCGTCAGTCTGCGGACTCAAGGGTCCCAGGTTCGATTCCGGTCAGGGGCATGTACCTTGGTTGCGGGCACCTCCCCACTGGGGGGCGTGCAGGAGGCAGCTGATCGATGTTTCTCTCTCATCGATGTTTCTAACTCTCTATCCCTCTCCCTTCCTCTCTGTAAAAAATCAATAAAATATATATAAAAAAAAAAAAAAAGAAGCAAGTTGGACAAAGACGTTGAATGCGTATATGCACAACACAGCCTATAGGGTGCTGAAGGCCTGGGGAGGGCGGGAGGGAGGGGGGACGGGGGCGGGCTGGAGGGGGTCAATGGAGGAAAAAAGGGGACATATGTAACATTTTCAATAATTAAAGCATCATTTTTTTAAAAAGCAGCAGGTTGGAGCCTGGCTAGTGTGGCTCAGTAGTTGAGTGTCGACCTATAACCAGGAAGTCACAGTTCAATTCCCGGTCGGGGCACATGCCCAGAGTTTAAGGCTCAATCCCCAGTGGAAGGTGAGCAGGAGACAGCCCATCAATCTCTCTCTCTCTCTCCCTCTCCCTTCCCCTCTGAAATCAATAAAAATATATTTAAAAAAAAAAAAGTACAGTAGAATCTGGCACATAAGAAGTATTCAAAAAAATTAGTTATTATCAGAAATCAAATGAGATCTCGGTTACGAAAACATTTTAAAAAGCTCTACTGCACCAAAACTCACTAAAACAAGAAGTCGCTTTGGCTTGGCTTGAGTGACTTTAGGTAGGTCCTTCCAGGCTCAGACTGAACTCACCTGAAAACCGTACTCCTTGGGCAGGTCCAGCGTGCATGCCGGTGTTTCGGCCGCTAAAGTCCACCTCCAGATGCAAACTTTCTGTAAGTGAGAGCAGACAGGAGGACGGGGTGTCCGGGGGCCTCTGGACTCACCACCCTGCTGGTTAACCCTGGAACCTGTGCACTAAGCACAGCACCCAGGCTAAGCCGCGAGGCACTGAGCTCCTGACAACGTGGAGTCCAGTCTTCCCAAGAGCGTCGCAGGTGCCACGTGGCCGGAACAGAGCGGCTCCCGGGGCTGCTCTGGATGCGTTGGCCAGCCCACGGAGGCCACCCTGAAGGTCCCTGTACCTGGATTTCGGCATCTGAGATGGTTGCCAGATACTTGGCATCGCGGGTCATGGCTATGGCCCTGATGCCTTCGCCGTCCGGGCAGCTGTCGAATATTGTGTGCACGGGAATCCTGCAAGACAGGACGGGGGACAAGCATTTGCTGGGCCTGCCCTGGTTCCCACAGGGACCCACTTCAAAAGCAGAACGACTGTGGATAAATAAATGTGGTGTTTCCATGCAGCGGAGTATTACTCGGCCGTGAAAAGAAACGAAGCACCGACACTCACTGCAACGTGGATGAACCTTACGTCGTGCAGAGCCCGGCCGGCGTGGCTCAATGGTTGAGTGTCAACCCACGAACCAGGTCACAGCTCGATTCCTGGTCAGGGCACATGCCCGGGTTGCAGGCTTGATCCCCAGTAGGGGGCGTGCAAGGGGCAGCCAATGGATGATTCTCTCTCATTGAATGTTCTCTCTATCCCTCTCCCTTCCTATGAAATCAATAAAAAGATATTTTTTAAATAATTCTTTATTGTTGAAAGCATTACATATGTCTTCTTTTTCCCCCACTGACCCCCTCCAGCCCACCCGTACCCCCTGCCTCAGGACCTCGCCACCCCATTGTCTGTGTCCATGGGCCATGCATATATGTATACAAGGTCTTTGGTTGATTACCTCCCACCTACCCACCCTCCCCGGCCTTCCCTCCGAGATTCCACACTCTGTCGCATGCTTCCATGTCTCTGGATCCACTCCGTTCATCAGTTTATTTTATTAGATTCCACATATGAGTGAGATCATGTGATTCTTGTCTTTCTCTGACTGACTTATTTCACTTAGCATGATGCTCTCCAGGTCCCTCCATGCTGTCTCAAAGGGTAAGAGATTCTTCTTTTTTACCACTGCATAGTATTCCATGATATAAATGTACCACAGCTAATAAAAAGATATTTTTTTTAAAAAGAAGAAGGTAGATTGGGGAAAGTCACCACAATTTTGTGAAAAAAGCAAATTGCAAAACAGTATACACAGCATGTCCTGAGTGTGTGTGTGTGTGTGTGTGTGTGTGTGTGTGTGTTTATAGGAATAGATTCCCAACTAAACAATGGTGACTTGGAGAAGGGGTTTGAGTACGAAGGACTTTATTTTATTTTTTTTATAAACTTCTGTACTGTGTCACTTAGCAAGATGTTAGAACTGTAAGAAACAGACAAAGCCTCGACACATGCAGAGATTAATCAGGACATTTAAACATCTAAGAGAGCCAAAGGAATGCAACGGACAACAGAAGCCATGATGGAAGTAAGCTGTCATGTTGGGGTCCCCGACTTCATCAGAAATGAAGAGCGGGTGGTGGCAAGAAGATGCAATACAGGAACCTGGCTACCAGCTCCCCCCCCCTTTTTTTTTCCATTATGGAGCTGTTGGTCCAGAGAATACGATCAGTGTCCTGCTTGGCCAGAACCAGGTCCGTGTGCTGGCTGAGGGCCAGCCTGGTTCTCTGCCGCCCGGGAAACTCCATCCCACTGTGTAGCCGCCCCAAACATTCATGTGGAAAGGCGGTCAGACCGCACGTCGTTGGGAATGGCACAATGATGTCCTTAGTTGGAAGATATATCTTACCCCTGGGGAGATGTAGAATTCAATATAGAGAAGATGAAATCAGTCAAACCTACACTTTTTTTGTTATCCTCACCCAAGGATATTTTTCCATTGATTTTAGAGAAAGTGGAAGAAAGAGGGAGAGATGAAGAGAAACACTGACGTGAGAGAAACATCGACTGATTGCCTCCTGTACACACCCTGACCAGGGCCGGGCCAGGGAGGAGCCTGCAACCGAGGTACATGCCCTTGACGGGACTTGAACCCGGAACCCTTTGGTCTGCAGACTGACACTCTATCCTCTGAGCCAAACCAGGTAGGACCAGACCTACACTCTTAACATATTTGTGATTAGAGAATCAGTTGCTTCTTATTAGGAACTAGAAGCCCGGTGCATGAAATTCGTGCACAGGGGTGTGTCCCCCCTCAGCCCAGCCTTCACCCTCTCCAATCTGGGACCCCTCGAGGGATGTCTGACTGCCCACCGGGATCGGGCCTAAACGGGCAGTCGGACATAACCACTCCCGTGCCAGCCTGATCGACGCCTAACTGCTCCCCTGCTGGCCTGATTGCCACTAACTGTCCTCCCCTGCCAGCCCGGTCACCCCTAATTGCCCTCCCTTGCCAGGCTGGTCCCCCCAACTGCCCTCCCCTGCAGGCCTGGTCCCCCCAACTGCCCTCCCTTGCCAGGCTGGTCCCCCCAACTGCCCTCCCCTGCAGGCCTGGTCCCCCCAACTGCCCTCCCCTGCAGGCCTGGTCCCCCCAACTGCCCTCCCCTGCCGGCCATCTTGTGTCCACATGGGAGCAGCCATCTTGTGTGTTGGGGTGATGGTCAATTTGCATATTACCTCTTTATTAGATAGTATGGGTGATGTTTAAGAGAATTTAATATATCAAAGTCTCTAATATTATATTTGTGATTCTAATTCAAAGTACATAATTGATTTTGACTTATAATTTTAAATTCAAATCGTATTAGGTTTATAAACAATATTAAGATGCTTAAGAGAACTTAAGATTTGCCATACTTATGTCTAATTTATTAGATTTACAAGAATCACTTAAGCATGGGTGAAGGATTTAGTTGTTAATGAGACTACTACAGAACTTAAAGATGAAACCAAGTATATTCAACTTTTAAATGCAGCTTAAAATGTTTAAAAGGAGTAAATAATCAAATTTGTAAGTGGAGCCAAACATTAATCAAAGTCCCCTTAAAGGAGATTGCAAAAATATGATAGGTTCATAAATGAAATAAGATTTATAAGTTGAAGAAAAAGCTTAAAGAAGAACTATAATTTTCAATTTGTCACTTTAATAAAGTGAATATTAATTCCAAACCAAATAATCTTTTCTGGGTCCCCAAGTCATTTGCGAATCATAAAACTCATAGCGACCTATTGCTTGAATTGTTAGCCACAGATACGCTTTACTTTGTAAATTTTTTAACCCTCACCTGAAGATATATTGATTTTTTTTTTTTTTTCAGAGAGGAAGGGCGAGGGAGAGAGACAGAAACATCAATGATGAAAGAGAATCATGGATTGGCTGCCTCCTGCACGCCCCCTACTGGAGATTGAGCCCCAATACAGGCATATGTCCTGACCAGGAATCGAACCTCTTGGTTCGTGGGTTGACACTCAATCACTAAGTCGGTTGGCTACTTATTGATTTTAGAGAGAGAGGATGAGAGAGAGAGAGAGAGAGAGAGAGAGAGAGAGAGAGAGAGAAACACTGATGTGAGAGAGAAACATCGGTTGCTCCCACAAGCACATGACTGGGGACTGAACCTGCAACCTAGGTATGTGCCCTGACCAGGAATCAAACCTGCAAACTTTTTGGTGTACAGGATGATGCTCCAACCAACTGAGCCACCTCGCTGGGATATATATGCTTTACTTTGTAATTTTAAAAAAAAAATCACTGCCTCACGTTGCTCCCAGTCTAGTGGGGAGACAGCTTTATAAATAAGAAAAAAATCAAAGGCTGAACCGGTTTGGCTCAGTGGATAGAGCGTCAGCCTGTGGACTGAAGGGTCCCAGGTTCGATTCCGGTCAAGGGCATGTACCTTGGTTGCGGGCACATCCCCAGTAGGGGGCGTGCAGGAGGCAGCTGATCGATGTTTCTCTCTCATCGATGTTTCTGGCTCTCTATCCCTCTCCCTTCTTCTCTGTAAAAAAAAAAAATCAATAAAATATATTTTTTTAAAAAAGAAGAAGAAAAAAATCAAAGGATAAGCGACTGCAAGGGGCCCTTGAGGCCTGGGGGGGAGGAGCTTCTGAGAAGAGGCGCCAGGCACTGTGCCCGCCGCCCTCCCCCACAATCCTGGCAGGTTAGGGCAGTGGTCTGGATAGTGAAATTCCTGTCTACCCAGAACCTCCGACTGTGATCTCATTTAGAAACAGGGGCTCTGCAGATGTAATTAATTCGGTTCAGATGAGGTGACATTGGACAAGGGTGGGCCCTGAATCCAATGACTGGTGTCCGCACAGAAGAGAAGGCACAGAGAGACGCGTAGGGGGAAAGGCCGTGTGAGGATGGAAACAGCCTGGAGGACTGGTCTATTAGCCATGAGCACTGGGGCCCGCGGGCCGCCACCAGCAGCTGGGAGAGGACATGGGACAGACTCTCCCAGGAGAGTCGGAACCGGCCGGCTTCCGACTGCTGGACTCGTGAACTGAGAAATCTGTTCTTTTAAGCCACCCAGCTGGTGGTCCTTCTGCGCAGCAGCCGCAGGAAAGGAAAACGGACAGGTGTGACTGGACGGGGACAGTCCTCACTTCTCTGGGCCTCCAGGCCAGGTTAGTGCGACCTGGCTCCCCTCAGCCCAGGCCACTCTGGGGCACAACAAACGGAGTTTCTGGGCTGAAAGAACCAAGAATCGTAAACGGGAGATTCGCCCAGGCCACGTCCATCAGGCCTCGAGGCGACAAGACAGCCGGGCTTCCCAGCAACCTCCCACTCACCTGTGCCCCGTCCCTGGCTTCACCTCCCCACACTGTTCACTGCCTGCTGGTCACAGTGGCAGATGTTCTACGAAAACTGGGGGTGGGGGGGGTGGGGGGGGAGTGACGGCGCCAAGCCTACCCTGTGAAGGAGTCCCAGATCATCAACAGGCAGTTGGGCCCTTTGTCGGCCGTGGCGATCCACCGCCTGTCCTCGCTGACGCACATGCAGGAGATCACGTTGGGGTGGCCCTACGGAAACCAGTGGGGGGGAAGCAGCTTTGAAACATGGAGGATGCAGCCCAGCCCTGGTATCGGCAGGAAAGACTGGGGCCCCGCAGAGAGCCGAGCCCCTTCCCCGGTGCATCGGGCTGGAAATTCTACCTCTAAGAGGCAGATGCCTTACGTCGCAGCCACATGTCTGGGACCCAGGCACAATTCTGAGTGTTAACTGAACTCTTAGAAAACACTTTGTGGTGTTTTGTTCTAGGCCAGTGGTTCTCAACCTTCTGGCCCTTTAAATACAGTTCCTCATGTGACCCAACCATAAAATTATTTTCGTTGCTACTTCATCACTGTCATGTTGCTACTGTTATGAATCGTCATGTAAATATCTGATATGCAGGATGGTCTTAGGCGACCCCTGTGAAAGGGTCGTTCAACCGCCAAAGGGGTCGCGACCCACAGGTTGAGAACCGCTGCTCTAGGCACTGACTAAGGAAGTCCTTATTAAAACGTATGTTAATTGCCCTGGCTGGTGTGGCTCAGTTGGTTGAGCCTTGTGCCATGCACCGGGAGGTCACCGTTCGATTCCCAGTCCAGGGCACGTGCCTGGGTTAGAGGCTCCATCCCCAGTCGGGGGCGTGCAGGAAGCAGGCGATCGATGATTCTCTCTCATCACTGATGTTTCTATCTCTCTCTCTCCCTCCCCTTCCTCTCTGAAATCAATAAAAAATATATATTTTAAAAATCAAATAAAATAAGAATTTAAAAAATACATGTTCACTGAAAGGGTAACAGAGAACTGTCTATCACAGTGATGGCGAACCTTTTGAGCTCGGCGTGTCAGCATTTTGAAAAACCCTAACTTAACTCCGGTGCCGTGTCACAGATAGAAATTTTTTGGTATTTGCAACCATAGTAAAACAAAGATGTATACTTTTGATATTTATTTTATATATTTAAATGCCATTTAACAAAGAAAAATCAACCAAAAAAATGAGTCCGCGTGCCACCTCTGACACGCGTGTCATAGGTTCGCCATCACTGGTCTATCAGGTTAACTATTGGGAAGTCAGACACCCAGGAAGCGTGGCACTTGGACAGGTAGACGATGGCCAGGAAACGGACCACCGATGCCAGAGCAGAGGACGCAGAGTGGTGTGGGGGGGTGTGGGGCGGGGTGGACATGAAGAAAGTTGTGGAGGACAAACTGACCAAAGCCCTTTGAAAGCTGGAAGGGAAGCCAAGGGTCAATACGGCCGGTCGGAAGCCCTTTGTGCGAAGTTCTGCGAAGGCAACACAACCTATTCTGGCCACGTTTCTACGGAAATGTGAAACACGCAGATGTTTTAAACCCGTGTTGCTATAAAATTAAAATCCGCGGCTGTTTGTAAATTGATTCTGATTAGCATCGGAGAGACAGCGACCAATAAAATGTGTTCCTAAACACAGGGTCTGCCACCGTTCAGAAGAGAGGAGGGGAAGCACGAGGGTGATGCAGAGTGAGGTCAGCCCCGGGAATGAAAAGCGAACTGCTGTATCCAAGCTGAAGACGGCCCCGGGGGCCGCAGGCGGAACAGCCGCCTACCCGAAGGTGATGCTGAGTGTTCTTGTGGGCGTTGTAGATGACCGCGGTGTGGGCGTTGGCGTACAGGAGCACCCGCTGCTCTTCGTCTCGGATGTAGTACACAGGGAGAGAGCTGTTCCATCCGAACTTCCACGTCATGGTCTGGAAGACAAAGGCGAGACCGGCAAGACGCTACCATGTGTCCAGCCCGAGCTGCGACTCCAGGCGCTTCCCTCATCCCTTCTCCCCTTTGCAGCCCCATCCTGGCTCTGGACATAAGTCCGGTACCCAGGCAATGGCCTGTGGGTCCCTCAAGGGTTATCGTGAGGAACAAGGCTTTTTCCTTTATTCTTGGCACGACCAGCACTAGGTAAACAGTAGGAACGAAATTAATGTCGAAATGCATAAAGTGATGCCCAGGAGGTGCAGGTGGGGAAAGCCACAGCTGGTCTGGATGCCACCAGCACAGAGGGGACAGGAGATGGTTACAGTTATACCAAAGTGTAATAGCAGTCACCTCAGGCAGAAGGGGTTGGGGTGGGGAGGGTGCAAGAAGTGGAATCCTGCCTTTAAAAAAAATAAACAAATAAAGAGCATCTATTCATTTTAACAGAAAGAAGAAACAATAAAGGTAAAGGAAAGGGAAAAGATAAAAGGAAAAAGAGCTAAACAAATCAGCAAAGCAAAAAGGTCCAGGAAAGTTTCCGCCGTGAGCCCGAGGCTAACGGGACCCCTGGGGCCCCTGGCACAATGCTGAGTGTTAACTGAACTCTTGGAAAACACTTGGTGGTGTTTTGTTCCAGGCACTGACTAAGGAAGTCCTTATGCAAATGCACGTTAATTGCCCTGGCTGGTGTGGCTCAGTTGGTGGAGCCTTGTGCCATGCACCGCGAGGCCACCGTTGGATTCCCAGTCCAGGGCACGTGGGCAGTGGCTTTTGTCAGGTCCGGAGAGCGGGGCCCCGACACCGAGACCACTTGCTCTCCTGAGTGACAGTCCCTGGTGTCCCGGTGGCTGGCGGATCAAGGCAAAAGTCTTCCCTGGCTCTAAAACTCAACGATTCTTTCTTCCAGGCTGAGCAGCTGCAAGTTTAACCTGGAACTCCACTGCTCAGAGTCGCCACACCCACAGAAAGGAGGCTGTCGGTTGTCTGCATTTCCCACTGGGCATTTTCCCATCCTCCTCATCCTCATCCTCCTCATCATCTCGTTCACACCTGCCAAGTGCTCGCTATGTGTTAGGAATGAAGTTAAGTACTTCACACACACTCCATCACTTACAAATCTTCCACAGCCATGAATCTACGGGGGAAAAGGAGAAAAAGGGGGAGAGGGGAATGAATCCTAGGAAACAATTTTCAGAAACCAGCAGATGGAGAAAGAAGGGAGGGGAAGCCCTTCTCCTCCTTCCCTGGGTAAATGATAATATTTTTACTCCTGGCAGATGGTGCCTCCTGGAATACTGTCGGCGGCTGAGAAGCAGGTTCCCCTGGGCTGCCTGGTGCCTTTCCCAGTGGCTTTCAGTTCTCAGGAACCAATGAAGGCAGGAGGGGTGAGGAGAGGAGGGGAACAGAAGGAACCGATGCCCTGGCTGGTGTGGCTCGGTTGGCTGGGCGTCATCCCATACACCGAAAGGTTGCTGGTTAGATTCCTGGTCAGGACACACGCCAGCGTTTCGGGCTCAGTCCTCAGTAGGGGCTGTACAGGAGGCAGCCAATAAATATGTCACTCTCACAGTCAATGTTTCTCTCTCCCTCTCCCTTCCTCTCTCTCTAAAACATCAATAAAAATTTTAAAAGAAGGAATTGATGGAATGGAGAAGTTGTACTGTGAGGGAGGGAATGAGGGAGGGAGGAAGAAAGAGAAAAGAAGAGGGAGGGGAGAAGGAGAGGGAGAGGGAGGGGAAAGAGAGAGAGGAAAGGAGTGGGGAGGAGAGGGGAGAGGGAGAGATGGATTCTGAATCCCCGCCCCCCCCCCAAAAAAAAAAACAGCACCCTGTGCACAGACAAGCGACACAAGAATTTCCTGCCTGCCCAGCAGCACTGTTGAACCAGATGCAGCCCTCCTCCATGTCCACATCTCCAGCCAGAGCTCTGAACTGGACTTTAAAATACAGAGTCTGTGGTTAGTCTTTAAAGGATCTTTCTGGTGGTATTTTTTTCCACGTGCATAAAACCCCCCCTCTCTCACAACACTCTCAAAGTGCCGGGGGGAAACACAGAAGTGTGCTACACTTACCAAGGGATACACCTTGGCCCCGTCGTCCTTTTGAAACAAGACGTCCTTACTGCTGGTGGACACCAGCGACTCCTTGTCCGCCGCGGGGGTGTGGGCTACGGGCTGCAATTCTTCCTCTTTTCCCTTGTCGACGTAGGATACTTTTTTTTCTCGTCTCTTTTCCCCCTTTACTGGTTCTGAGACTTTTTCTTGGGCCAGTTCCCCTGAGGACAGTCGGGCCATTTTCTTTTGAAGGGAAATTATCAGTTTTTCTTCAGAACTGGTGAGCGCCAACTCATAGTCGGAGGGTGAGCTCAGGGTGCTCAAGCTCTCCGTTGGCAATGAATGCTCCGACTCCCTACCAATGATCTTTAAAAAGAAATAAAAGGAGATTGTGATTCCAAATACGACGCGGCCTCACTTATTTCCCTTCCTTTTCCTAAGTCAGCCAGGCTCAGTGCTCGCCTCACCCTGGAACTAGGAAGTGTTTTTAAAAGGAGCCTGGGCATCTTGGTATTCAAATAACATGAATCGTGGGTGTGGCCGGTGTACCCCTGGCCTGCCAGCACCCCACAACAGCACAGTCCTTCTCCTGGTGGCCTCCAAATGGCCGACTAGCCAGAGAGTCAGGTCTCTCCTACAGGGAGGGTCTCTGGGGAGTTTATGTTACTGTTATCACACTGACAGCACACCGACCAGCTGACCCCGACCAGCCCTTTAAAGTCAGCTCCTCCTCCAGGAAGCTCTCCTGGACCACCCTCCAAACTGTGTTCATTTGTCCTTGTTTGAAAAATATCTCCTAGACACCTCTCAATCTCGGCACTTAGCACATTGTTTTATAATGTTCGGTTGTGGGTCTGGCTCCCTACACACCCTAGAACCCAAGAGAATGAAAAATGAACTGTGTCTTACTTGGTTTTGTATCCCCATAGCCTGGCATATAGTAAACATTCAATGAATGGTTATGAATGAATGAATGAATGAATGAATGAATGAATGACGATTACTACTTACTAGAGAATTTTCTGACATGAGTGACTCGGAATCAGTGGATGAGAGTCCCTCCAAACTGACCATGGCCATGGTGATTTGTTGGGACGCCCCTGGGATTTCTTCCTGGGATCCTGAAACCATCTCGGCCAGTGCTGCCCCTTCCTCCTCCTTCAGGTTTCCTTCCCCTTCCTCCTCCTTCAGGCTTCCTTCCCCTTCCTCCTCCTTCAGGCTTCCTTCCCCTTCCTCCTCCTTCAGGCTTCCTTCCCCTTCCTCCTCCTTCAGGCTTCCTTCCCCTTCCTCCTCCTTCAGGCTTCCTTCCCCTTCCTCCTCCTTCAGGCTTCCTTCCCCTTCCTCCTCCTTCAGGCTTCCTTCCCCTTCCTCCTCCTTCAGGCTTCCTCCCCCTTCCTCCTCCTTCAGATTTCCTTCCCCTTCCTCCTCCTCCAGGTTTCCTTCCCCTTCCTCCTCCGCCTCTTTCTCCTCCTGAGTCTCTCTCCGTGGTAATAGGTCATCCCCTGATTTCTGTGGTACATTTTCTTCCTCTTCAGAATAATCTGGATGTTCTTCTTCTTTCATTTCTGTCTCTCCATCTTCTGCTTCTTCTAGTGGGTTTCCCTCTGCATCTGACATTCTTCTCTGTGGCGTTTCCTCTAGAGAAATTTGACCATAATAATCAGCAAGACCCTCTGCTTCCCACGTTCATCCCTTGGTGACCTCATCTACCGATAAAATGTGCAATACCAGCTCTGGCTCCTTTCCATGGGAACAAAAAGAATGTCAGACTCCTGGGAAAGCCTGTCCCAAATCTTGACAATATTGATCCCAGGGCCTCTCATCTTTCTAGGAATGACTTCAGAGCTCTCTAACTCGTGTTAAAGATATTCCTATTCCAACAGGCAGCAACATGCGTAACCCAGGCATTGCTGACCATTCCAATAATGACTAAGAAGCAGTGTAGCTTCGTGGTTAAAAGCACAGGCTCGGGCAACCCGCTTAGACCTCCTCCCTGTAGCAGGGAGCTTTTCTGTCATAAACCTTTATTTTTGCTCAAAAATAAATTGAAAAAATAAGCAAGCACAGGCTCTGTGTGGTTGAGTGTTAACCTATGAACCAGGATGTCATGATTTAATTTCAGTCAGGGCACATGCCTGGGTGGCAGGCTTGATCCCCAGTGTGGGGCATGCAGGAGGCAGCTGATCAATGATTCTCTCTCATCATTGATATTTCTCTCTCCCTCGCCCCTCCTCTCTGAAATAAATAATTAAATAAATTACATATATATATATATATATATATATATATATATATATAAAATAACTCCCGATTCTGGGGTTATTGTGAAGATTATATGATATAGATAAAACGCTCAACACAGTTGTGGCCCATAGTGCTTGAGAAATGGGAGCAATTGTTTAAAAATTCTTTTTTCCTCTCATTTATTCCTTACAACAAACTTGAGAATTTGAGGCTCTGGGAGTTGAAGTGACTATTCAAGGTCACACAGCTGGCAAGCAGCAGACCCTTCTCCCGCTGTTCCTCCACCTGAAAAATTACTGATGTCAAGTCCAGGGCCCTTGGCACAGAGCCCCTTCCCAATGCCAAACCTGGCCAGTGAATCTGGATGCAGGGGGAGGGGCGCGGGTCGGAGGGGGTGGGAAGCGTAGGTGTGTGGTCTGCGGGCCGCCCAGGCCCGGCCCTGCCCGACTGGGCTGAGCACCCCCCGAGGCACCAAGTCCTGCTTTGCTGGGCACCCCCTGCGCGGACCGCGCGGCCTGCAACCCTGACTCACAGAGCGCGCCCAGCCAGGTCCTCAAAAGGCCACGGTGGCCCCGCCGCTTGGACTCCTCAGCCACTGCCCAGCAGCCGCTTCTCCAACACCCGCTCCCTAGTTACGGTTGCCACCCAAGCCCTATCCCCATGGTAACCGCCGCCGCGGCAGGCGACGTGCCGTAAAGCGAAAGGGCGGTACGGTGGTCACGTGCCCAGAAAGCGGCCGCGAGCCGGCCCGCGCGCCCCCTGCCGGTCTCCCCGGAGAGGCACCACCGCGACTGGGGCGGCGAAATCGGCTTTTCTGGTCTTTCCTTCCGTCCGCTTTTCCCATGGAGCCATCTCCTGAGAAACTGCAGAGGCGAACACTAGCAGTTTTGACTTTCTGACGGTTTAACAAGATTAAGTGAAGAAGTATGAAATGTTTTGGTAAAAATTCTCTTTTCCAAAAGCCGTCTAAATTTCCCGGTCTAGCGGATGCTGCACCTAGATGTCTTCCACACGTCCTCACTGGGGTAAAAAGTGTTGAGAATTTTAGCTAGCCGGGAGATTATAGTAGAGGATACATTATCTTGCTGTTCTTATCACAAAACGTTTCTGCAAATCCAGTTTGGTTAAATCTATTAGGATCGCCTGGCCAATGTGGCTCAGTGGTTGAACATGGACCTATGAACCAGGAGGTCAAGGTTGGATTCTGGGTCAGGTCACATGCCTGGCTGGGTTGCAGGCTCGATCCCCAGTGTGAGGTGTGCAGGAGGCAGCCAATCAATGATTCTCTCTCATCATTGATGTTTCTAACTCTCTCACTTCCGCTCTCAAATTAATAAAAAATATATTTTTAAAAAATTAGGATCATTCTACTTCCCAGTGACCCTCCCCTAGAATCTCATGGAAGAGGGCACACCTGGCCATCCCGAGGTTTCCAAAGGGAGACCTGCAGGAAAACAGCCAAAGGCACGATGCAGAAGACTCTGCTGCTATCACTTAGGAGAATGCGAGGGATCCTCCCCACCCCCACCCCGTCTGGACGGGAGAAGCTGTGTTGATTATAGTCTAGGGCCGTGGTCGGCAAACTCATTAGTCAACAGAGCCAAATTTCAACAGTACTTCTTCAAAATAGACTCACCCAGGCCGAAAACTGACTTCTGCGCATGGGCCACGAAGTTTCAATTGCACTGTACGTGCGCCCGCACGTGGTATTTTGTGGAAGAGCCACACTCAAAGGGTCAAAGAGCCGCACGGGTCTAGGGCAGTGATTTTCATCCTTGGCTGCACATTACAATCACCTGGGAATCTTTTTAAAACCCTGATTTCTGGGCCTCATCCTCCGGAAATTGTTTCTTTGTTACCAATGTTGTGGCCCCACCCCATAACAAAGAAACAGAATTTCCGGAGGATGCGGCCCAGAAATCAGGATTTTAAAAAGATTCCCAGGTGAATGTAATGTGCAGCCAAGGTTGAAAATCACTGGTCTAGGGCAGTGGTCGGCAAACTCATTAGTCAACAGAGCCAAATATCAACAGTACAACGATTGAAATTTCTTTTGAGAGCCAAATTTTTTAAACTTAAAGGGCGAGGGCTATGCCCTCCATCTTGCCCCGTATCCTCCATGTTGGGGCAGTAGCCATGTGCTCAGGAAGGTACCTTCTTCCCGGAGGCCCAGGCCTCTGCTGGCCACGTCCGGGATTTCTTTAAACTGACCAATGACAATCAAAGGACGTGCGCACCATAATCTGTGTAACAAGACCCGACTTGCGCCTGGCCAATCGGCAGGGCCCACGGTCATCTCTCCTCCCCTCACTCCACCCCCCTATTAAAACCCTGTTTTTTCTCACGGTGCGCTCTCTCCTCTTGCCGTTGCGTCGGAAGAGGCTGGGAGCCAGACCCGGGTCTGTAATAATAATAAAGGACTCTCTGCTTTTGCATCGGACTTGGCTGGCTCCCTGTTGGTCTGTTGGGGATCTTGAAATCTGGGCATAACAAAACTTAAACTATATAGGTAGGTACATTGTTATTAACTTAAGTAGGGTACTCCTAAGTGTGGGAAACTGTTTATTGCCTTCACTATCTGATAAGCGTAGACAGAGAACGCCCCCCCCCCCCAAGGCTGGGTGCCTTTGAAGCCCTAGCAAAGGTCAGAGCTAGACGCCACCTGTTTGTCCAGACAGTGGTAGCTGAAACTACTCCCCCATTTATTATTATGTAAATCCTTGCTGATGGGCTAGTCTGCCTGTTGCCAGGGGTCACCTGCCTAAGGGCTATGCTATGGGTGCATCCAAGATCAATAAAAGCTTGGTGAGGCCTGAGCACAGGAGGAAGTCCTTCCCCTTGAGTTGGACTTGCTCGCCTGGTCCCTCAATATTTCCAATTATCTCGTCTTTTCATATTCATTTGTGTGCGGCTCTGCTTCCAGTTCCTGAACCCTGATCCACGTGGGACGTGGGAAGGAAACACTCAACACCTAAGGCTTAGGAAGAGCCACACTCAAGGGGCCAAAGAGCTGCATGTGGCTCTCGAGCCGCAGTTTGCCGACCACGGGTCTAGGGCTTATAAAAAAAGATTGAAAACACTTGGAATTAGAACACCCAATTCAAACAGCAAAGCTCGGTCAACACTGTGGCTGTGGGAGGGGAACACGCATGGAGGTGGGGCTGGAGTAAGTCTGGGGAAGACCCTCCACAGGAAGGCTTCCCAGTTGAGCGTGAGAACCCATGGCAGGAAGCACAGGCCAATGCCGACTCCCGTCAGGGCCAGCTGGTACCGGTGTCCAACCCAAGCAAATTCAGTCCCAAGAGACACAGATGCCCTGGCAGAGTGAGCCAGATCTCTGAAGGAGAGGGGACTGCACGAACCGTGGGAATAAAGACAGTGAAGAGCGAAAGACTAGAGTCCCTAGGAATCACTGAAATCCTTTGCCATGTTAGAGAGAAAACAAGAGGACCACCCATACACACTGCTGTTCCCATCAGCAACGTCAAGCACCTTAGCAGTTTATAAAATAGTGCTGAGCTGAGGGTGTGACAAGGTTCAATGATAAAAAGCCACAAAAGAAGCTCATCTGCAGGCATTTTTATTCTACAAGTGGAGGGAGCTTGCTGCCCTCTGGTGGATTATGGATGGGAAAGTCGACACCTGCTGGGCTGCCTGGGGAGCCTCCTGGTTTATCTATTTTCTTTTTTTTGTTATAAAAATATGGAATGCTTCACGAATATGCATGTCATATTCTTAAAGGGAGCAGCTGTGGCTCTGGAGGTCCAAGTGCTGAAGACAAGATTTCTGTATCTAGGGCAGCAACGCCGCACTGCAAAGGGGGACGGGCAGCTGGTGTCTGGAAACCCCGTGCCATAAAGGAGGATGTTCTGGAAATACTGTGGTAAAATTTGACTTTGGCACAATTATTGTTCTACCTCTCTCTTTTTTTCCTTTTTTTTTTTTCGTTTTAGAGAGAGGAGAGAGAAACATCGTTCTGTTGTTCCACTTACTCATGCACTCATCGGATGACCCCTGCATGGGCCCTGACCGGGACCGAACCCACAACCCTGGCACATCAGTTCAATGCTCCAACCAACTGAGCCACCGGCCAGGGCCCAACTTTCTGTGAGGATGTTCTGAGCTTTGGCTGAGAGGTCCATAAGGAGTTTAGTTGGGGTGATAACATGCTCATATCAGTACTATAAAACTGTTTATTTGGAGAAAATAATTCCTAAAAGAATAAAGTCATGACAGCACCTGTCAGAATAACTCCCACCCTCTTGCCATCAGAGATTCCCATTTGGGGCCATGGTCTAATTCAGAAAAGATCAGCTAAGCACAGATCAGGTTCTGAACAATGCCTTAATCCCAAGAGACTACACTCGGAGGCCACAGCGTTTCCACCACCTAGAAGTTCAGGCTTCCAGATCCTTAAACTCCAGGGAGAGGAGAGAAGGGAGAAATCCCCCCCAAGACACAAGTCTAGGGCCACAGAAGATGCTTTCCTGATACTGTTCCTCAGGGACAATCAGCTTTGCAAAGGAATAATGTTGCAGCTGGAAGAAAAAAAGAAAAGAAACAGCGTAAGTTTGATGGCTCCATTCAGGGAGATCAGGAGGGGAGCCCTCCTAAACTTTTCACTTACATTCTTTAGTCCCATAAAGCAAATGCCCAGAGAGACCAGGGCTCCCTCCACCTCTGCACCTATAGTCTCATTCCTGCCACAGTATTCATCATCAGTTCTACAGGTCACCGGGGGATTCCCACCATTTCCCAACCCCCCCCCCCCCAGCTTTATGTCTAACAAACATGCAATGGACACTGCCGGGTGAATGAACCAAAACAGATACTTTACCCCAGCAGTCCCTTCCCCGCCCAGCGCGTTGGGACCAGTCTAAGCCGGTGTTTCTCCCCTCTGCGGATCACTGTCACATTCAGGGGCTTCTGAAAGGAAAATGAGCTCGTTTTATGTTCAACCTCCTTAGCACTCAAAGAGATTCAGGCTAAAACGCTGAGATGCTCTATCAGTGGATACAGTGTCGGCCTGCCGACTGGAGGGTCCCGGGTTCAATTCCGGTTTTTCGCCCATCAAGTTAGCAAGGATGCTTATTTTAAGCATTGGCCTGCAGTCGGTGGGTGGGGGACGTGGCACTCTCAGGCCAGTCAATGGGGCTGCAAATCGGTACCATCCTCTTGCAGAGACCACCCCCCCCCCCCAAAAAAAAATCTTTAAGAAGTGCATACAGCCCTAGCCAGTTTGGCTCAGTGGATAAGAGCATCAGGAGAGGATTAACAAATATTAAAATTAAAATGTGCATACAAAATACATTTTGCAAAAATACAGAAGTCTATATGAACAAAGTGTTCATCCCAGGACTGTTTATAAATTCAAAAACTGAAAACACCCAAAATATCCCTTAGTAAGATATGATTCAAATATAGTACAGTGAATGAGGCAGTTTTAGAATACAAAACAAAACAAAACCGACAAAGTATGAACCCATTTGAATATATCTTCTAAAGAACATATGTATTGCTTGGTGCATACAAAGTTATCTGAAGATATACCAAAACACTGTGAACAGTGGTTACTTCCCAGAGAGAATGGAGTCAGAGAAAACAAAGTTTACTTTTATATCTTACTATACCATTAACTTTTTAACAATGTGTATGTATTACCTTTTTAAAAATATGCTTTTATTAATTTTAGAAAGAGAGGAAGGGAGAAGGGGAGAGAAACATCAATGTGAGAGCGAAACATTGACAGGCAGCCTCCCACATGCCCCTGATCAGGGAGAGAGCCTATAACCCAGGAATGTGCCCTGACCAGGAATTGAACCGACAACCCCTTGGTGCATGTGACGACACTCAACCAACCGAGCCACACCAGCCAGGCTGTATGTGCTACTTTAATAAAAATTAAAACAAGATGCATCAAAATTAAAAAATTTTTTTGCATCAAAGGATACTGTCAACCAAGTGAAAAAAGCAACCCTTAAAAAGGAAGACAATTCTGACATATGTGACAACATTGAAGGACCACGAAGACATTAGGCTAAGTGCAATACACCAGTCACAACAGGACAAATATGATTCCGGCAATTCTAGGGTTACTGACCAAATGCCATGAACCCCCAACTCACCCCCTCACTGTGCTGCACCACGGTGCCAATGTTTTGCAGCGACTGGAAGTTTTGGGTGTTTACGGAGCCAAACTCCACAATCTCATCATCCACTTGCAGACCCTAGAGAAAAAAGAGATGGAAAACCAGGCTAGAGGTTAGATGTGCTTCTGGTGTTGTTGTTTTTTTTAAATATATTTCTTTATTGATTTCAGAGAGGAAGGGAGAGGGAGAGAGATCTAGAAACATCAATGGGAGAGAATCATTGATCGGCTGCCTCCTGCACGCCCCCCCCTCCCCCACTGGGGGTGAAGCCTGCAACCCGGCCATGCACCCTTGGCCCCAGAATCGAACCTGGGACCCTTCGGTCCGCAGGCCGACGCTCTATCCACTGAGCCAGACCGGCTAGGGCCACTTCTGGTGTTCTTTACCCTTCCATACCTAACTGAATGTCAAGGCCAAGAGCGTGTTTTCTACGGGGGACCAGGACAGGCCCAAGGCGAAGAGGTCATGCAGAAGGCAGATAATTGGGCACCTCCTCTGGGGATCTCCTTTAGGGCAGATCTAGTAGAAGGTGGCCAGGTCTGCCCAATGTCTGATAAGAGCTGGCGGTTGTGGAGGTTGAGATATGTGGGGGAAAGCCAACTGCTGCTCTCTGGAGTCCTGACCCAGGTTCGGGGCAGCAGACAGACGCAGGACAGTCTGGACCTCTTTTGTTGAGGGGTCAGAACTTAGACAAGTTTGCCCTCAAATGAGCAGCCATAGGCACAAGGCTGACCACAGGCACTAGTATGACCTTTTCATTCTAAGAATACAAATGGTGATGCACTCATCCCTTCAACAAATATTTGCTGTGTTGTCCTAGCCAGTTTGGCTCAGTGGATAGAGCATCAGCCTGCGGATTGAAGGGTCCTGGGTTTAAGTCTTGTCCCAGACGTATACCTGGGTTGCGGGCTCGGTCCCCAGTGGGGGGCGTGCAGGAGACAGCTGATCAATGATTCTCTCTCATCATTGATGTTTCTCTCTCTCTCCCTCCCTCCCTCTCTGAAATCAATAAAAATATATTAAAAATATATATAGTTGCTGTGGGCCAATGACAGCACTGTACTGGATGCGTGGATACAGAGGTGAACAGAACAGAGCCTCTGTGTAACAGGCCCTGGCTTACCGCGATGCTGGCAGGGGAGCCGGGGCTGACGCTGTTCACTTTGGCAAAGGCCTGAGGGGGGCTGAGGCCCTCGCTCTGGCTCAGACTTCGGCTCATGGCCTCTTCCTGGGCCTCGGCCATGTCCCGGGCCTGCTTCTCCTTGTCCCGAGCATGCAGCTGGTGCAGGGCCTCCTCCACCTGCTTCATCACCGCCTTGTGATCGTTCTGCAAGCCTGGGAGGAGGAAACCGGATCAGGGGCCAAGAACGACAGCCGAGGACACAAGACTCCCTCATTCATTCTCTGAACACTCAATGAGCACTTCCTACATGCTCGGCCTTGTACTGACACACACGCAGATGGAGTCATGATTCAAACAGGTAACAGAAGTCAGGAAGCAGAAAATGTAGACAATAATTCCCTTTTTAAAAAATGTTTTTTACTGACTTGAGAGAGAGAAACATTGATGTGAGAGAGAAACATCGATCAGGTGCCTCAGTACACACCCTGACCTGGGATGGAACCCACAACCTGGGCATGCACCCTGACCCGGAATCGAACCTGCGACCTCTCGGTGCACAGGATGATGCCTAGCCAACTGAGCCACACCAGCCAGGGTGATAATTCCCTCCTAATGTGACCTGGTGGTAGGCCACGGGCTGCCCGCCTGTGGCAGTGTGAATAAGGCCCCGCAAAGATGTCCACGTCCCAGTCCCCGGGACCTGGGACTGTGATGCTTCACATGGCAAGAGGGACTTTGCCGATGTGATTAAGTTTATGACCCTGAGAACGAGGTTATTCTGGATTATCCAGGGGGTGGGCCCAATGCAGTGGTTCCCACCGTGGGGCACACGCCCCACAGGGGGACAATTTGATTTTTAAGGGGGGCAATTCGAGAATGAGTTATTAACAGTGAATTCTTGCATTTATTATGGTTTTAGGGGCCTCGGATACAGTACATATATATTGTGACATATTTATGCATTTCAGTTCTTTATTATATGTTTTGAAACTTTATTTGCTATTTTTTCATATCACTTCATATTATTATTTTTTAACAATTTCTTAGTGATTGCTTCCTCGGTACTTCCTTTCATTTCAACTGTCCTTTCATTTCTCTCTTTCATGGATGCCGTTCTTTGGAAGCTTGTTTAGACCAAGTTAATGGCCTTTTAGGCTTCCTCCACGTGAACAGGAGTTCACTTTTTGAATAATAAGAATTATATATCATGGGGGGCAGCAGGGTTTTAGAGATGCTTAGGAGGGGCATGGCCAAAAAAAGGTTGGGAACCACCGGCCCAATGCCAACATGGGTCTTTTTAAGTGAAGGAGGGAGGCAAACTGGGAGAAAGCGATGCGACAGAATCGGAGTTGGAGGGATCTGTCAGCTTTGAAGATGGAAGGAGCCACGAAACAAGGGATGCGGGCGGCCTCTAGGAGCTGGAAAAGACAAGGAAACGGGCTCGCCCTGGAGCCTCCGGAGGGAACACGCCCTGCCCGACACCTTGATCTCAGCCCAGTGACACCACGTGGAGGTCTCACCTCCCGAGCTGTGAGATAACAAGTCTGTGACGTTTTAGGCCACGAAGTACGTGGTGATGTGTTATATGAGAAACAGAAAACGAATGCCCTGCCCACCTCTGTTCTCCCTCCGTTCCTGGGTCACCATCATCAACAGCGAAACATAATTCCTAACACATAATTGATGCGATTAGGATCGGAAGCAATATCTGACCTGGTTTTCTATTGTTATTTTAATAAAGTTTCCAGAATGAAGTGAAGCTCTTAAAAACAAAAGGAAGCTATAAATACTGAACCCTGAGTTTAACCCAATCCCTGAGTTCTCATTCCTCCACGGAGACAATGAGATAATCCTGTCGCGGCAGAAGAGAGGGAAGCAGGTAACATGGGATACTGGTGATCTCATCCGTGTGCCTTTAATGTCCCCCTCTGCAGGGTGGGGCCCTACGGGTCACTCACAGACGATGTTGTGCCTGGCAGTTCGAACTTGGTACAGGTCCACGTCTGAGCGGGGGTAGCCCTCGCAGTCCACCAGCGGCTCATTCATCCCAACACCTTTTAGCTGGAGGAAAGAAATGTGGATTTTAAAAAATCGCACAGGCCCGCCTGGAGTGGCTCAGTGATTGAGCATCGACCCATGAACCAGGAAGATCACGGTTCGATTCCCGGTCAGGAAACATGCCCGGGTTTGGGGCTCAATCCCCAGTGGGGAACGTGCAGGAGGCAGCTGATCAATGATTCTCTCTCATCATTAATGTTTGTATCTCTCTCTCTCCCTCCCTTCCTCTCTCTGAAAAATCAACAAAAACATTAAAAAAAACAAAACTTAAAAAAGACCTCTTTCCCACTCTTTTCCTCCGCAGTCATCATGAAGGTGACGGTAAGGAAAGCTGCCACCTGTGGACCACTTGGCACAGACTCGGCATGTTACCCACATCCTCTACCGTGGGCCCTGTTTTTTAAATTAATCTTTGAAAAACACAAGTACTGCATGAATCATTCTCTCTTTTAGAAGTTAGAGCTGTGCAGATAAGACTAATGACTCCTTTGAGCATGAACCCCAAGGCCAGCCTCCCCTGGCTCCTCCAAGCCCTCCTCCTCCAGGCAGCTGACATCTGGCCAACAGCCTTGGAAGCTGGAGGGGAGTGAAAGCCCCGAACGCATCCAGCTGTGGCCGAACGTGGATTCTGCTGAATGTAAAAAAGATCTAAGAGGGCTTTCAAAGAGGCCCCCACCCAGGAAGGACACCCTGATATCACCAAGGGCCCATGAGGGACAGGAACTGGGTGCCTGGGGACAGCGAGGGAGAGAGACTTTTCATTTTACATCCTTTTGTAGCCTTTGAATTTGGACCATGAGACTGTATTCCCTTTTAACATTCTAGTCTTTTTCTACGTAAGTCAGAGCATGATGTACAGAAGCAGGAAACGTGTTACACACCGAAGATGATGCAGGGGAGGGATTCTGCAGTCGGACAGCCTTTGATGTGATCTCAATTCTGTCACAAACAACCTGGGTGCCTTGGCTAAGACCTTTCCCTCCTTCAGTCTCAGCTTCCTCAGTTACTAAATGGGAACGAAGGTACTCCGCCGCCCGCCTAGCATGGGAATTGATGAGTTGACCTCTGTACAGTGCTTAGCACAGTGCCAGGAACATGCAAAGTGGGTTGAACAGCGGCCCCCAAAAGATATGTCCAAATCCTAACCCCAGAACCTGGGAACGTGACCGTATTTGGAAAAAGGACCTTTGCAGATGTCATTAAGTTAAGGGTCTCTGAGCTCACCCTAGATTTGGGGTGGGCCCTAAATCCAATACCGGGCATCCGTATAAGAAAAAGGAGAGAGACATCTGGGACACAGAGAGAAGGCCATGTGAAGGTAGAGGGCAGAGATGGGGTAAAACAGCTACAATCCAAGGATGGCCAGTAGCCACCAGGAACTAGAGAGAGGCATCGAATGGACTGTCCTTCAGACCCTGCCTTCACTTTTACTTCAGACTTCATTTCTAACCTCCACAACTGTGAGAGAGTAAATTTATCTTGTTTTAAGCCACCTAGTTTGTGGTCATTTGTTATGGCGGCCCTAGGAGATGAATACACACAGTAGTAAATGAGCACAGAGACAGTGCCCGGAGCACACAGGGACTGGGTGGAGGGATTCCCTTTGCTTCTCTCTGGACACTGTTACACAGACTGTTTCCTGTTGGCAAGGGAGGGGGGCTGGGGGTCGCCTATAGTCCCTTAAGACAGGACTCTCTACAGATGCTGCATAAATGTCCCAGGGCTACACACCTGTATCAGCCGCCTGCCTTTCCACAATGACTGAGTTCACTGGCATTCCCGAAGCAAGACCACATAAGATACTGATTTCCAAAGTGGGGACCCACACCATGGTGCCTCACACACAGGGCACTAAATAACCCTGAATTTAAAATACTAACTCCCTTTCCAAGGATCCCCGACCCTCCAATAATCAAGAAGGAAGTCTCCATTTGGTGATATCACCCACAGGTCACCTGCTATCTCTGAGCTTCTTAAGTTTGTTTTTAACAGCTTTACTGAGATAGAATTCACAGACCATACAATCCATCCATTTGAAGTGTATAATTCAATGGTTTTTAGAATATTTGCAGGGTTGAGCAACCATCGCCACAATCAATGTTAGAACATTTTCATCACCCTCGTTCCCATTCTCCCCTTGCCTCAGCCTCTAGCAACCACAAAGCTACTTCCTGTCTCTATGGAGTTGCCTATTCCAGACATTTCGTATAAACAGAATCATAAGACATGGGGCCTTTTTGATGAACTTCTCACTCAGCATCATGCTTTCAAGGTTCATGCACATTGTGGTGTGTGTTAGTGCTTTGTCCCTTTTTATTAAATAACATCCACTGTATGGAGAGACCACATTTTTATTAGCCACTCATCAGTTAATGGAGATTTGTATGGATCATCTTGATGTACATTTTTACCTTATACTTAAGGGAAGAGATTCTCATTTTTTCACATGCTGTAGAACTATACTAGCAAAAGTTCCTTTTAAAATAAATTTATTTAAGTAAAAAAAAAGTGGGTCAACTTAAAGCAAAACATACAAGGAGCCCCTGGCTGGGTGGCTCAGTTGGTTGGAGCATCATCCCATACACCAAAAGGTTGCTAGTTCAATTCCCATCCGGGGCATATGCCTGGGTTTCAGGTTCCAACCCCTGTCCGGACACATGTGGTAACGCGGGAGGCAGCCGATCAATGCTTCTCTCTCACATCAATGTTTCTCTTTTTCTCTCCCTTCCTCTCTCTAAAAATCAGTGAAAACATCCTCAGGTGAGGATGAAAAATAAAAACATAAAGGGAATAACACTACAAGAAGTATGTGGGTACAGCATCGTGCTTATGGTAGACAGCAATTTAAGGTTAAGAAATTGCTGGCATAACACCCAAAAGCACAGGTTCTGGATTCAACAGGCCTGAGACCCAAATCCCACTTTGTGACTTTGAGCAAGTGACTTCCCCTTCATAACCCACCACCCTTCGGGCGTATACAGTCGGCACCCAGTAAAATGGTACCCTGGCCTCCATCCAGCACTTCACCTTACTCCCGTTACCTAAAATGCATTCCATCCGCCCTACACAGGTAAATGAACTTACTTTCTCTGCAAATTGCTTTATGATTTTAAGAAAAACGGTTAGTTTTGGAGCCCGACAGACCTAGGATCGAGCTCTACCACTGCCACTTTTTAGCTACAAGACCCTAGGCAAGGGAGTACCCCACTCTGGGCCTCAGTTTCCTCTTTACGGAATAAGGACAATGAGCCTTAACTGTCACTCAAAGTTCAGTCCTTCGACCTGTAGCATCAGCATCGCTAATAATTTGCCAGAAATACAGCATCTGCTCCGGCGCGCCCTGCGCCCCATCAGGCTGGGTGAGCAAAACCCGGAACATCTGGTAAACGTTTCAGCCCAGACTGGTGATGGCGGTGATTGCCAACCACCCGGCCTCTGCAGACCTACTAGCTCTGTGACCGGAGGCAGGGGGGCAGGTCTAAGCTAAGCAACGCCTCCGTTTCCTCATCCCCAAAATGGGCGAAATAACAGAGCTCACGTCAAAGGGTTGCTGCGAGGATGCAATGAGCTCACCGATGGAACGAAAGCACGTGAAACCACGCCCAGCACAGGGTAAGGGCTCCACAAACGCTGGCTAGGATTCCCACAGTTTAGTTCGCAGCGTTAGGAGCCTCTCTCCACCGACAGAGGCCGCAGTTGCGGCGCCGTGGGCCTCCCAGTCCCCCGGGTCGGGGGGGTGGGGCCGAGTCCGTCGGCGTCGGGGCGCCCCCACGCCCCCGGGAGCCCCGAGCCCACACTCACGCTCTCCAATACGCCATAATTGGCCTTGATCTGCGCTTCGATCTCCTCCTTGCGCCGTATCAGCTCCTGGACATCGCTGACCGTCACCGCGCTGGCCTGCGGGGAGGCCCCGCCCGACCCGCCTTCCTTCTCCGACATCTTGGACCTCCAGCCAGGATCCTGGACACCCGGCTTCCGGTTGCGGACCCCCGAGAAGACTTTGGCTACGGCTCCGCCCGCGGGCCAAAACACCACGGTCGGCCCGTCCGCGAGCGCTGGGAGGAGCTAGGGACGTGGTCTCGTCAGTGGGCGGGGTCACCTGAAGCCACGCCCTGCTGGAACCGGCGGTCTGGGGGTGCCTCCACGTGCCGCAGTGTGCGGAGGAATGGTTCCCTGGACCCCACAGCTGGGGACAAGGCCAGTTAGTTTTTTTCCTTAACTGAATTTTTTTTTAATTTGATTTTTAGAGAGAGAGAAAGGGAGACGAATAGATAGAAACATCAATGAGAGAGAAACATCATCCATCTGCTGCCTCCCGCACGCCCCCTACTGGGGTTCGAGCCCACAACCCAGGTTTGTGCCGGGACCAGGAATCCAACCGTGACCTCTTAGTTCCTGGGCCCACACTCAACCAGAGCTACACCTGCCGGGCTAGCTGACCCATTTTCTGTCCTCATTCATTCAACTAACATTTATTGAGCGCCTACTGTGTGTATTGAGAGAGCACTGTGCGTGGTGCTCAAATCCAGCTCTTCACATCTACGCCTGCTGGAGGGTTTACAAAACATATTCTTATCCCTATCCCTCATTTTTTTCAAAGCCTACAAGGTTGTGTTCACATCCAGGGCTCTTGCCACTTACTGCGATGTAGTGATCTTGACTACATCACTTCACTTCTCTGAGCCTCAGTTTTCTCATCTGTGTATTAGTTCCATATCAACAGAAATCCATCTCATAGAGCTGACATTTTGCCAACAAGTATTTATTGAATGCCTCCTTTGTGTCATACTTTGTCCTGGGTGCTGGATGGGTAAAGAACTGAGTGCTGGGCCCAGTGCCTGTCAGATATTAGATATCTATAAGTTTTGGTAAAAATAGTATTGATGGTAATAATATTAATACTAATAATTTATCAAATAGTTACAATGTGCCAGACACTGTTTTAAGTGCCTTTCATATAAACAACCTCTTGAAACCAGGATTGTCATTACCCTCACTTGACAGCGGACAACACCATCTCAATAACCAACTTGCCCAAGTATCAAAGCAAGCAGCCCGAATTTCAACCCAGCCTAAAGCAAACTGACGAAACTTCATTTCGTAACATGTGCCCCCTAATGTTTTGCCCTGAAAGGTGTAGCCTAACCCCGAATAGCCCAGCCAAGAACTAAGAGCTGAATCTAGTCCCTTAGGGTTGACATTAGTTCTGAAGAGCGGAGACTAGCTCCTAAAACCAGAGACTGGCCCCTAAGACCCCAACCTACTTCCCCATAGTCAGTTTCAAAAAGTGGAGCCGAGCCCCGAAGAGCCCATCTACACTGAAAAGGACACACCGTCACTTATGTAGTATTCAAACATGTTTACCTGAATTCAGTCATGGCAAACAAACACTCAAATCCTAACCGAGGAACATTCTTCAGAACCGGCCTGAACTCTTCCAAAAGGTCAGCCTTGTGAAATACACCTGTGCGCTAGGCAATCTCAGAAGCTAGGACCTAGATGAAAGAGATGCAACAATGAAATGCAACCTGTGTTCCTGATTGGACCCTGGTTCTCCTCAATAATGGAAGCTATAAAGCGTGTTCTTGGGACAATTGAGGAAATTTGAATATGGACTTTATAGTACACTAGAGACCCGGTGCATGAAATTCGTGCATGGGTAGGGCCCCTAGGCCTGGCTGGTGATCAGAGCCTTCCAGCTGCCGGCTGGCTGGGGGCCTTCCTTCGTTCCGCACCGCCCCCTGGTGCTGAGCACACATCATAGCATGCAATCAAACTCCTGGGGGGACACTTTGCATATTAGCCTTTTATATATATATATTACAGTGTATCGATGTTAAATGCCCTCACTAAGACAATGGTATTATGATTATATAAAAGAAGCTCCTATTCACAGCAAATGAATACTGAAGTATTTAGAGGTGTGGTGTCATGATTTCTGCAACAAATTTGCAAGTGGTTCAGGATAAAGAGCTATATATATATACACACACATATCTCAAAAGAGATAGAGAGGGGAGGGAAGGAGGAAGAGAGAGAGGGGGGTAACATATAACAATAGGTAAATCTAGGTGAAGGGTATATGGAAGCTCATGGAAACTATCTTGCAACTCTTCTGAGGTTTGAAACTTTTCACCTATGCAGTCTGAAACCAGGGCAATTGTTTAAGTCACCACGTTATGCTGTTACTGTCAATATTGTTGGTATTATAATAAGCCTAGATCCTGTCCCTTCTCCTGCCTTTATAGCTCTCAAAGCCACCCATTGCCTCCAGCTCTACTCTCATCCCACCACCCCAATACTTTCCCAGATTGCAGCGAGCTCAGCTTCTAGGTAGCCCCTTCCACCCATTCTCGGCACAGCATCCAGAATAACCCACCAAACAGAGACACGGTCACTCTGTTATTTAAACACTTTCCGTGCCTTTCCAGCACCCTTCTTTTGTCTTCCAAGACCTTTCTGACGCCTGCTTGCCTTTTGGACCCCCACACACACACCACCCTCAACACACACACACACAACTTAAGTTCCAGCCACACTGAGCTTCTAGAAGTTTCTGGCACATGTATTGCTTCGTCTCTTTCAGGGTCTTAGCACCTGTTCCTCCCTTCTCTAGGGCCTCATCTCAGGCCGGGCTGATGTCAGCTCCTCCTTTAAGATCCAGCACAAACATGACCTCCCCTGGGAATCGTTCCCCAACCCGCCCAAAGCTGGGCTGTTGGCTGCACTCTCTACCTGGTACTGTAAGTGCAGGTGCTTCTCTGTGTGTCTACCCACTGAGGACTCAAAGGATGCTAGCTGAGGCTTATCTTTAAATGCTGGACTGAGCCAGCGTTTCACAGGATTCCAAGGGACAGGCTAAGAGAACAATCCTTGCTCTCTCCCCATTCCAGCTGTTCCGGGGTTCATCTTACCTGGGGGGGGGGACAGATCACCCACCCAAGCCTTTGTTTCACAAAGCTGCCAAGATCTCAAAGAACTGATGTTTGCCTCTTCCAAACACCCACATCTTGCTCATTTCCACTTCAGAACTAGACGGAGGCCAGGAGACCCAGAATTGGGAAAGAGAGTCAGGAAGCTAGAGCCACCCCAGGGAGACCGGGTCAGTCGTAGTTCACACTGCCTGCCTTCAGGACGCAGCACACTTTCCATATCCCTCTCCACCCTGGCCCAGGAGCCAGCAGACCGGCAAGGCAATGACCCCCCTATTCCTGCATCTATAACACAACGGGCTGGCCTTCAAGGTCCAAACTGATGGTAGGTTTGTGGCAGTAGGCTCACTAAGGATTGCTTTGGAATTTTAAATTAGTTACTGAATCAGTTCAAGGGCCCATCACAAAATAGCTGACATACTCAGAAGGCTATTTAAAAATATTTTATTGATTTTTTTAAGAGAGAAAGGAAGTGGAGGGGAGAGAAAGAAACACCTATGTGAGAGCAAAACATTGATTGACTGCCTCCGGGCATGCCCTCAACCAGGGGATGGAGCCCGACCCCAGGCATGTGCCCTGGAGTCAAACCAACAAGGTAATGTAAGGGCTATTGATAGTCATGGGCAAGCTTAAGGGGGCAAATAAGCGATGATAAAACCACCTGGGGCTGGCAATCCTAGGGGTCAGACCCCACCCCAGGGGCAAGAATAGTTTCAGAACCTAGAGAGGGTTTAGCCACCCAGCAGGAGTGTGGCCTTCAGAGAGGGACACTGTGGTCCAAACAACATCTGGCGGAGAGGGAGCTGGGCCGGGAACAGCCCTCTTCCCCCTCCTCTCACCTCCTCTCACTCCTGCCTGAGCCGCTGGCTGGCTGAGGGCAAAGGGGCTTGGGCACAGAGCGGGGCAGGGAGGGAGGGACTTGGAGGGACAGACAGGACGCCCCGCACAGTGGCCAGTGCTTTCAAGGAGACACACACGCACAGACACAATGGACATAAGTATTTCTTACCATGCAAAGTGCTTACAGGTGTGTCATAACAATATGTTATAGAAAAGGATCGTATCTGTGCATGTTTATATGTTTTTAGAAGGTGGTCTGTAGAATTGTACACCTGAAACCTATGTAATTTTGTTAACCAATGTCTCTCCAATAAATTCAATAAATAACTTTTAAAAAAGAAGGTAGCCCTAACAGGTTTGGCTCAGTGGATAGAGCATCGGCCTGCAGACTCAAGGGTCCCTGGTTCGATTCTGGTCAAGGGCATGTACCTTGGTTGCGGGCACATACCCAGTAGGGGGTGTGCAGGAGGCAGCTGATCGATGTTTCTCTCTCATCGATGTTTCTAACTCTCTATCTCTCTCCCTTCCTCTCTGTAAAAAATCAATAAAGTATATTTTTAAATAAATAAATAAATAAGAAGGTAGTCTGGGTGGATATGGCCAAACTGTACATGGTGGTTGCCGGTAGAGGAAGGATTATGGGTGGGTTTGTTTTCAGCATTTTTTTTTCCTCTCACACTCTCTCTCTCTCTCTCTTTAATTATGTGTATTTTATCTTACCCCCTGACTTAACTTGTATTAATTCTGTTATAAAGAATAAAATAAAACACCCATCCGAGCTAGTTAAACAAGGTACGTTCAGTTTGTGAAAAATTCATAGTCGTGTACTTTCTGCACTTTTTCATGTATATTAATCCTGAGTAGAAATACTACTTCCCAACTTCAAAATACACACAAAATCTCTTGGATTGGTAGAATCAACATCATCAAAATGTCCATACTACCCAAAGCAATCTATAAATTCAACGCACTTCCCATTAAAATACCAATGGCCTACTTCAAAGATCTAGAACGAACTCTCCAAAAATTCATCTGGAATAAAAAAAGACCCCGAATAGCTGTGGCGATCCTGAGAAAGAACAAAGTAGGTGGGATCTCTATGCCAGATATCAAGCTGTATTACAAAGCCACTGTTCTCAAAACTGCCTGGTACTGGCACAAGAACAGACATATAGATCAGTGGAATAGAATAGAGAGTCCAGAAATTAGCCCAACCCAATATGCTCAATTAATATTTGACAAAGGAGGCAAGAACATACAATGGAGCCAAGATAGTCTCTTCAATAAA